TACAGGAGCTAACCCCATGATCCAGTGAGCCTAGTAAAGATTAATTGCAATGCGTGGCACGTACAAACTTTTATTTTCACCTTTATAATACGATTTTTAAATTAAAAAATTTCAATGAATGTGTCATTTCATTTCATAAATTGCTTTTCAGGTCTTTTATACAAGCCCGTAAAATATTGTTTACTTGGATGCATGTAAATGCAAAAACAACAAAATGTACCTACCTATAAAATGTCATATACTAAGAATGTGAAAATAAAATTATTTAAAAGGTCTAGGTACCAATTTTTTAGATTGTACAGGGTGATCCCCTATAATGTCGCCCCCCTTTAACTTTTTTATTTTAAGTGTCCCAAAAAATTTAAAAGTGTGGTTACGTACGTACTAAAAAATACTTTTTTTCTACGTATTAAAAAAAAATAAAAATTGATCAATATACAGGGAAAAACAAAAAGTTTATTTTTTTTCAATGGATCACCCTATATATGAATTTATTTTTCGATTCCTTGTAAAATTCTGAGCATAATTTATATAACAAACCATATCCTAAATTCAACTGTTTCTGAAATATTCGCATTCGAAATGTTATCATTAAATGTTTTTTTAAACTGTTAGAAATCAAGAAGCCTCAGTATACCAAAATTTTTATTGAAAATAAATTATTATAGTGACATTATGTCATTATGTCTTGTTAAATATGTAAAAATGGCCTACTCAGACAGAGAAAGACCAACTATTTCAACTTATTATCTTAAAAATAATTTAAATATTTCAGAAACGGTTTAATTTAGGTATATGGTATGGTATATGAAATATGCTTAGAATTTTACGGACACTTAAAATAAAAAAGTTAAAGGGGGGCGACATTATAGGGGATCACCCTGTACAGGGTGGAACAAAAAAATTTTAACAAACGGCGCTATTTTTAAAAATATTCACATATTTTTTTTCATCAAAATGAGTAACATACTAAAATTTGAAACTTTTAAATTAAGTCCTTACAAAAATAACGTTATAAATGTAAATCCTTACAAAAATAACGTTATAAATGTAAATATAATGTTGCTAATTTTTTAAAAAACCCTGTATAGAATGATGCTATTTTATTAGAATTTAAAAATAAGTAGTTGGTTATAATCAGCTTGCTAACACCTTTTTATTGATGTGTAACATGACCCCACTTCCCATTGAAAACAATGTGACCTTTAAGAGTATTTTTGACTCCATTTTGAAAAAATTGTTTTGGTCAAAAAGTAGTATTTAATGATTTGTTTATTACACTAAAATTTCCTATTTCTTAATCAAAAAATAAAAGGGATGGGGATTTTTAATATTATATACTGTACTGTTTATCTTATTTTTTTAAATTTTCCTGCATTTTTTTATTATAAAAGCCTTTTGATTATTTCTTATTATATGATTTTTTTATAATTTTCGAAATTTCTCATGTGCCAATCAATTCTTGAAGACAATTCTTGTCTACATTATTTTTTCTTGGCTTGTTCAATATTATATTATTATAACCCCTGTCCTCTGAAAGCCGATGACTATAGAATTGGGCAGCAGAAAGCAAATACTCTTGTCAGCGAAGACGGACAGATTTATTAAACACCGTGTGGTCGGCCGCATCGGGAATCTTTTCCATTTATTTTGCCCGCATGTCAATTCCTTCTTTACTAGAGTGGTTCATGCAGGTGATCGAGCGTGAATACGTCTTGGGATTGCCTTTTTGGCGTCGGGTTTCAATTAGTTTCGGAATTTTGATTGATCAAATTTATGAATTATTCATTTGAAAACAGAAAAAATTAATAAGAAAGTCAATTTTATTATTAAAATACTTTTAAGTTAAGTGCTCTACATTTATCAGAATTGTTTTATTTAATTAATAATTTGAATAACTTACAACAGGTCCAAATTGTTTTCTTCATTTTATGTGCAGCACAAATGTAATAAACATCTTTTTGCATTAAAATTTCAAAAACATTTTATGCCCCACAACCATAAAGCCTTTTTACTGGCCATATTTTTTTTATAGATGCTCTCTATAAAAATAAACTGACATAGTGCCCATTCGAAAAAAATATAAAGAAGTAGTTCATGCAATGTTAAAAATAAGGTGTTTTATTAAAAAAAAATGTTTATGTCTAAGATAACAAAAAGTTAAGATTGACAATGTTTTACAACCTAAAAGTTTAAAAATAGATTTAATGACAGTGCTTCTTCATCAACCCTTTATTACTACGCAAAGTAAACATTGTACACTTAAACTAAAACACATTAAATCTTATCTAGCACTTAAAGAAAAAATTGACGTATGATAATATAAAACTAGACCATTGCATTTGAATTCATTAACTTGGCAACGTTGCACACTTTCGCGGCACTAAAACCAACAATAAATTACTCCCTTGGTTGCATTATCACAAAATCACGTGTATAGTTTGGCATACTAAACACAAGCTTTTATTTTTTGAAGAATTATTAAAAAAACAATTGTTAAAGTCATAAAACTATTATATTACTTTCATCATATAGTTGTAAACAAATAATCATAAGTTATTAGCAAACCCAACATTTTTTCAATAATTATTATAACCTTTTACAGGCGAATTGGGACTACGAGGTGTGTTCAGAAAATATCGGGAATTTTCGTTTTTTGAAAGAAATATTTATTTATTCGTCTACATTAATGTTGTCGCCTTCAAAATAGTCCCCATTGGATATTATGCACATGTGCCAGCTCTTCTTCCAATACCCGAAACACTTCTAAAACTCGATCTTTGGGATAGCCTTTAGTTCTTTCAGCGATGCGCTTTTAATGTCATCTATGCTTGCAAACCGACGGCCCTTTAAGGTTCTCTTTATTTTTGGAATAGGAAAAAGTCAGACAGAGGCATGTCTGGCAAATATGGAGGCTGGGGCATCATTACAGTATTGTTTTTGGCCAAAAATGTTGTTCAAAATTTAACAATTTTAGAACAAATTTTACTGCCACCCGTTTCAAACCCAAAACATTCGAAAAAATTTCATGGGATGAGCCAATCGATATACCAACATCATCAGCGACTTCTCTGATGGTTTATAACCATTTCTTCCACTTTTCCATGTTTTTATCGGTTGTTAATGTGCTTGTGCATTCGGGGCGTTCGTCATCTTCAACGTCTTCACGGCCATCTTGGAAACTCTTATACCACTTGTAAACTCTTGTTTTACTTACAGCAGACTCCCTATAGGCCTTTGTTAACATTTCACAGAATTTATTTAATTTTTTAAGCAAAATTACAAATTCTTTGATCCATTTCTTTTAACGAACGAAAAATCGCCGAGCTCATAAAACACGTCTAACCTTAGCGGCTGCCACAGACAAAGTAAACAATGAAAACAGCTAAAGTTTTTATCATACTTCGGGGGCATGTATACGAACATAATAAAGAAAATTTTATGACAACCGGACCCTCCGAACCCGCGAAATTTAACAATTCCCGTTATTTTCTGAACACACCTCGTACACAAAGTAAACATTTAATTTGAATTAAATCATAACAAACACAATAAGCTAGCCATTATTCTCCAATATTAGCATCAGCATTAACATTTGAATAAGTTAAATTTTTAGTAAAAAAGGCTCGAAAGCTCGATTTTAATAACACGGTGTTCCCTATTCAGGCTACTGTATTATGTTACACTTCCGTTTTTGGGGTCCGCTATTGTACTTTACACTGTACCCTTTGTCCCTATGTTAATTTACTCTTTTGCAAAAGCAAAAAACTATCTACATGTGTAGTGAATATAAAAATGCAATGATTTGATACAATGAATGTAACTACAAATAAATTTGTCCTTCCAAAAATGTTTACACATATGTAAAATATAAGATGCAAAAAATATATAGGTACATTTTAAAATACCAAACTAGAAAAAAATGTTTCGTTTAAGATTTAGTTTTACGAATTTTGCTATAGCAAAAAGAATGTTTAATGTAATAAAACAACCAATAGGTCGATTTAATTTACCTGTTAAAAATTAAATATATTCTAAACAGTTATACAATTTACAATAATTTAGAGGATTATGTTAAATTAGGTAGTTATATAAATGCAAATAAGATCCGTAGGATTAAATTCGGTATTTTTAAAAGTCGTTCCCAGAATAATAAATATTTATAATATTAATCATGTATGTTTTAAAAACAATACAATAATCATTGTTAAATGATCTTGTATTTCTATCTTATCTAAAATATTTATTTTGATCGCAACAATAAAACTGTGATAAAATATCTATTTTTATCAAACTTAATTTAGCAAAACACTTGTCCAAATTAGATACTTAATCCATAGACCACACGTGTCCCCTTTTCGGCAATAAAATACCAAACTATTAAGCAGATTTGCGATAGCAAAAGGGCCTCGGGGTCAGAAAATTTTCTTAGGACTCGCAGCTTGCTGGATCTGACATTTCGGACCGCCCCGAGATCGTTTTCCAACGCACCCCTGTAATTTATTATTTACCAGGTTGACTAGATGGCAAAGAATGGTAGGCCGTTCTTACAAGGCTAAAATAACTTTTGCACAATAGAAAATTGGAGTCGGATTACCGATTTTTCCGGTGTACGATTTGGATCAAAGACGTGGAGAATTGTTTTCTTTTTGATGGGTTTTTATAGAGGGGACACAAACATTTTGAAATATCTTTAATAGGTTTTTATTGAATGTGTTATGCTAGGGAAAATTGTGTAACATTTTTGGAATAGTACCTAACTGTTATTGTTAAAAAAATATGTAAAATGAATTGTTATATTACTTTTATTTTTTTTAAACGAACAAAATCTTTTTGATATAGTTTTGTAAAATTTATTTTTTAAATAGCATTTTTTTTTAATAATTTTATAATTTTTAACATATTTTCTAAAATTTAACAAGTGTGTAAATATAGAAATCTGTTAGCTGGGTAATATTTATGTTTTATAATATTTTTATAACATATTTATGTATTTTTAGTGGAAATCAAGATGGTGTGTCATGAGAAAATTATCTCCAGTTGCAGGTAACAATAAAAAAATATTTATTTGTTTCTTACCTACTCACATTCTTGTCTGAGAATTTTATTATTCACCATGAATATATTTATGTAGCAGAAATGAAATTTTTATATAATTATCATTGACAGAAAGTTTTTGATTTTTTATTTTTTTTTTAAGAGGAGTTAACAATAGTTTTTTTAAGGTTTTTTGAAATTAAACCAACAGCAATATGAATAAATTCTCGTTTATCGGTTTAGTATTTTGTGGTTAAAAAAAAAAAAATTTCTTATATCTGCGTTAGAAACTTGTTCATTTTCAAGACCTACTATAAAACAAACGTGCCAAATTTTTTACGCTTTTTTTAGTTTACGATAAAACTTTTTACAACTCTTATGAAGCTACTCTTCATCATATTCTTTTACGTTAGTTTAATAACCTTGACGTTTTACTGGTTGCCTAAAGGGGATAATGATTATTATTAAATTATTGCTTGGGTAAAAATTTAACAAAACTTAAAACCTACAAAATGTTATAAAATCTTTTAAAAATCATTTATTTTTAATCATTTTTTAATAACTAAAATATTTATAAAAACATATTATTTTAGACAAGTAATGGATGCCATCTTAAAAATTATGGCGACCTAAAAAAGTTTCCCTTAAAGTTTTATTTTTTACTTTAAATTTATGTTTTCTTGTTTAGTCAATAATAATAGTATTTATTACCACTAATAACCCTAAAAAATACCAGGCGAATAGGAATTATTTACGGTTATAAAGTGGTCTTAATATCGTAAAATTATCACTTATGAGTAACATTTACCATTAATTAAAAATTCTGACGTTAAAATTACGGTTAAATTTTCCTTTAAGTGAAATACACTTATTAGTAGTTTCCTTTCGTAAAAATTACGTCCCTCATATATGAGGTATTATAATACTTTAAAGTGTTGAAACTTAAGGGTTATTAAAATAACATAAATAAAACTTATTAAAAACTTTAAAAAAAATTTTACTTCAAAGAATCTAATTTTTCATAATATTAAATGTATAATATAAACAAAAATAAAACAATATACCTAGGTACTTCTTAGGTATACATACATTATATAAGAAGAGTGTATCCACTACTCGACTAAGTTAATCCTACGGTGGGTTACTATTCGTCTATTTGAGTACTCGAATAGTTTTAAGTATTTAAGCCAATTAAATCGTCAGAGTGCCTTCGTTCCATCAAATTATTTACTTATGCTAATTCAAACGTTAAGTTGATCGAGCCACTACTATTTGCTTCTATTATTAAGGTAGGTACTCGGTAAACCACGTTTTCAATTTTAAATTTGCCACGTTAAAAAGTTTACTTTTGTATTGTATCCTTCCTCAAGTTTGGCTGGCGAAAATGTGCCAGAGGAGTAAAGCAGGTAAATATGACAAAAGTCGAATATTTGAGAGGGAAACAAACAAAAAAGGTGTTGTGTACACGATGGGCCCTGATAAATCCACTTTGAATTTCCGAAATAAATACTTCTCTCAGTTTACATCATTGCTAAATTGTTTCACATTGTTTTGGGCTCTACAAAAGACGCAGAAAATTGATATCTAATCTTTAATCTTCCGCTTTGTCTTTATCTTGTTTCATCAAAGAAAATTACTAATATATTTATAAATAAAAAAAAGGTTTATAATTCACTTTTATTAAAAACAATATACCAGTTTAGTCGACGTTTTATTTTACAACACACCCACTTATTGTATTATTTGGACACGGATAGCCTACAAATAAGATTAACAACCCTAATAAATAACAATTGTATGCGTATACAAAAAACGGTGATATTTTTAATTTTTCCGCCCATTTAAACAAGACTTATATCTGTCACATAAATTTCTTGCATTTCTTTTCGGATTAAAGTTTTTCTGAACGATGCATTTTTAAAATTAGATTTTCTGTTTGTTTCCAAACAAACTGGGCACGTACAGTTTATAACTGTTTGGTTTATCTATCGGTATATAATTTACACAAAAACTATCTACCCCATAAACATCTTAGCTTTAGAAGATAAAGAAAGCTATTCTTTACAAGAACATGTCACTCAACATCTTCTCTATCTTATCTTATTTACACCCTAAATTAATTATAATCATTTGTACTAACGCACCAAATAGCCTTTTTAGGGCATTTAACAAAGAAGTATAACAATATACCAAAACATTTTTGGAAACACTATTTTAAACTTAACGACAAAACCTCTACCAACTGTTGTTAACTTTCCTTGTAACTCTAATGAGACGTTGCCCGTGTTTCACACCACAGCAGGGGGTGGGCCTTTAGCGGCAAAAAGGTCTGTCTTGATTATACACTGGACAAAAACGACCACAGCACGCTTAGGGACTGCTCATTTCAACATTTTAATTGACAATATAAACCCAACAATTAATATGGGATTGTTGCATTTAAATAGTGTACCATATTAAATTTTAATGCAAATACTAACCAAAAACTTGTTGAATCTATATTGAAGGATATGTAATATCGAATATCATGGGCTAATTAGGATTGAATATCCCAACCAATTAAGGATTATCAAATGTCTAAGCAAAAGAAAAACATATGGCGGTAGAAAAGTTATTTTAGTACATTAGTCGCTTTATACACAAAAGGTTATCTTGTTTTGCCATTAAATATATGTTGTTGTGGAGTCGTTTCCTTTTTTATCAATTAGGTGCGATAATAATACAGTGTAAAATAATTTAAACCGACGCAAAAAATTAACCTGCTGACCTCTAATGTTAATTACTTAACTCGTTTAATTTTCAAATTTACAAAACATGAAGTAGTCCACTACATCAACAGACAAATGTCATTTTAAAATGCCTATATGGACATTTTTTTGGAAGACTTCTTACGACCATGGCAATAAATATGAATTAGCAAATGTTTTGCAGGCCTGAAATAACATCCTTAATTATTAGGGCATTATCCCATCATCTGCTTCTAGTGACCATAAATTTACACTTGATTTATTAGCATTCAAATTTTTAGCCACAAATAAAAACATAATACATAGAAAACTTTTCGAGATTGTGGTTTTAAGGTGAAGAGAGTTTCCTCATAAAATATCTATAAAACTAATATTTCCTGTTTACCTCGGGATAGCAGCGTAGCCCCTTCCTCGTTATTATAACAATATTAATCTGCTCCTAATAAATCTTTCAGAGTATGAAAATTTAATTTTGCTTCCCGTAAATTTTCGCTTTGGCGTAATAATTTACACTTATTCTTTATAAGCGTCAGCACCTTTCCACCTTTCAATCAGTTATTTATTATTGTTTATTTTTGACAGTGTAATCACACCGATTACCTTCAATCAGCCTTGGGTAATACATTTTTTGTTACATCCATAAACTATTGCTTAATACATGGAGAGCATAATTTTAATTCAACAGTTGGATTGCTAAGTTCCATATTCCTGTACCAGAAGGTTAAAATATAGTTAATATTTTTTTATATTTGTAATAAAAAAATGACGTCTTATGACATTAGTTCTTTACTGACAGTGGACTAATGGTCAGTGCTGCTGACTACAAACCAAGAGGTCGTGGGTTCGAGTCCCACATTGGTATGGTTGTTTATTTGTGTTTGTCCTATTGTGTATAAGGAGGAGGGGACTTTAAGCCCGCGGTCCGTTCCTACCCCTAACCCGCTCAAGTTATTCAGTTGGCTTCTGAGACTTCTTAGGAAGTAAAGGTGGAACTAAAAGAGCACTTTTTTATATACAATTGCTTTAAATATAAGGAGCAAACTCGCAAAATGCATTTTGTGCAAAATTTTTATTTCAATTTCAAGTCTTTTTTCCTATTTTACACTTTTTACTTTTTTCTAGTAGGTACTAGAAGTTTAAAAAATAGTTTAAAAAAACTAGGAAAAAGACTTTTTACTCAAATGTCCCAATAAGAGTAAAAATATGCAGTGTTTAAAATTTAATAGTCTATTCCAAAATACACTATTGGTCTCCAGACTCTAAAACGTTCATTCAATATAATTTATAAGAAGCCTGGACTCGTCAGTAAACATCACGTTACTCCATTGTTTTATTGACCAATTAATTAAACAATTTTACATAAATATCAAGAGAAATTCGATAACAAAAAAATGTGTGATTTCAAATATCATATTTTGCTTTTTTACATTTATAAAAACTATGTGTCTACTGGGTGTACATACATTTTTAAGTTCCTACTTAGTGCAGTAAAGAAATTATATTAAAATAAGTTAGTGGGTCCTTCTTCGTTTTGATCAGTGTATTATAATATTATATATGTATGTAATATTTTTTTTTATTTTTCATAAGAAATATTGTGTCTACTTTTTGTCTCCTTTAGCCAAAATCATTTGAAGCCAATAATAATAATAATATTTATTGATCACAGAGTTTTACAGCATTTAATTCCATAAAACATATTGGACTAGTAAAAAAAAATACAAAATAAAGAAAATATTTTTAAACACTATGTAACTACTACTAAATTTCTTAAACATTAAATAAGTTAATTAAAATTATCACTAAGAAACTCTTCCACAAAATAATATATTTTTCTAAAAACAAAGTCTGCAATCTGCATTTTATTATTTTTGAGCATTTATAACAAGACACAATGGTTATTATAACATTTAATTCCCATATAAATAAAAGAAATACAGAGAGCCTAGAAAATGGCAAAACTAACATATTTTGGCTTCTTGCTGAGTAACTATGTATGCCTTTTTTATTTTCAAAAATGAATAAAACTAAACTTAATATGTACAAACAGGGAAGAGTTAAAATTTTGTATTTCCTAAATAGAGGTTTACAAGAATATGTTGGACTTATCTTGTCCAGGCACCTAAGGATCTTCTTTTGCGTTATAAAAACTTTATTGAAATAACTTGAGCTACCCCAAAATATAATTCCATAATAACACATAAAAGGGTTACATTTGTACCCAACTTAGTATTTAATGTAATTTTTTGAGCTTGCTATTGT